AATTTCAGGTGTCCATTTACCAGTTTGACCATAAAAAGATACAGAGTCGGCCTGAAAAACCTAGGCTAGGTTGGGTTACTGAAAAACACATTATTTCTCCTTAGCTTTATGCATGTATACAATTTTTGCCAGCTTAAAGCGTTTTTCTTTTTATGCAGCAATTCCGATTAGCAGAGTTAGGTAGACGGTATGTTTTTGCTGGAACATTACACAACATTAATCAGACTAACCGTGACAGAAGTAAAAAGGTTTGTTGTTAAAGTTTATATATTTCCTGTAAATTCTGTATTAGAATTCACATCCCTCATACTGTAAGATACTTTATTTTTGATTGGAATTACCGTAATTTTCGCTGAAAGAGTGATTCAGTTGAAATAAAATCCAGTGAATACACTTTTTTTCCTACATTTTACATTCAACTTGTCAAAAATCATTGAAAATAAATTCCATACAAAACCCCAAAAAATTCTTTGAAGCGAAAATTAATTCCAGCTAAAATAAAGTATTCTACAGTAGGAGTTACACACATTGTTTTTGAACAATTAATTGATACCCCAAAATTCACGGCTTCTAATACAAATTTTCCAGTTTTTCCTTCTGTAGTAGAAGGTGATATCATTGTTCACATATGGTTGAATGCTGCAATGTTATAGGGTGCTGTTTTTCATTCATGCAATGTACATACATTGTACGTCATATAATTTATGATTTAACCATGTAAAATAATCATCTTTCATGACAATTGAATATAAATGACTCAATTGTTGCAGTGATATAGTAATACAACTTAGGTGGTCCCAACAAAATGGAACATCACTCGCTGTTCATCAATATACATGTTGTTTGTTTTTTACTCCTGAATAGCAAATAAAACATTATTTATAACTATGTTTGATCATAATTTCGGTATTTCAATTTGCATTTAGTTAAATCATTAATATTACTGCACAAATGACACCATATACAATAGGGGAAATAGTTGTGTGCATGCGTAAAATGTTTGGTTGGCATGCATGTGTACAATGTCTTGTTGGTGTGTATGCATGCAATATCTGGTTGGTGTGTATGCATGCAATGTCTGGTTGGAGTGCAATCTCTGGTTGGAGTGCATGCAATATCTGGTTGGTGTGTATGCATGCAATGTCTGGCTGGAGTGCAATCTCTGGTTGGAGTGCATGCAATGTCTGGTTGGTGTGTATGCATGCAATGTCTGGTTGGAGTGCAATCTCTGGTTGGAGTGCATGCAATGTCTGGTTGGTGTGTATGCATGCAATGTCTGGTTGGAGTGCAATCTCTGCTTGGAGTGCATGCAATGTCTGGTTGGTGTGTATGCGTGCAATGTCTGGTTGGAGTGCAATCTCTGGTTGGAGTGCATGCAATGTCTGGTTGGTGTGTATGCATGCAATGTCTGGTTGGAGTGCAATCTCTGGTTGGAGTGCATGCAATGTCTGGTTGGTGTGTATGCATGCAATGTCTGGTTGGAGTGCAATCTCTGGTTGGAGTGCATGCAATGTCTGGTTGGTGTGTGTGCGTGCAATGTCTGGTTGGAGTGCAATCTCTGGTTGGAGTGCATGCAATGTCTGGTTGGTGTGTGTGCGTGCAATGTCTGGTTGGAGTGCAATCTCTGGTTGGAGTGCATGCAATCTCTGGTTGGAGTGCATGCAATGTCTGGTTGGTGTGTATACGTGCAATGTCTGGTTGGTGTGTATGCATGCAATGTCTGGTTGGAGTGCAATCTCTGGTTGGAGTGCATGCAATCTCTGGTTGGAGTGCATGCAATGTCTGGTTGGTGTGTATGCGTGCAATGTCTGGTTGGTGTGTATGCGTGCAATGTCTGGTTGGAGTGCAATCTCTGGTTGGAGTGCATGCAATGTCTGGTTGGTGTGTATGCGTGCAATGTCTGGTTGGAGTGCAATCTCTGGTTGGAGTGCATGCAATCTCTGGTTGGAGTGCATGCAATGTCTGGTTGGTGTGTATGCGTGCAATGTCTGGTTGGAGTGCAATCTCTGGTTGGAGTGCATGCAATGTCTGGTTGGTGTGTATGCGTGCAATGTCTGGTTGAAGTGCAATCTCTGGTTGGAGTGCATGCAATGTCTGGTTGGTATGTATGCGTGCAATGTCTGGTTGGAGTGCAATCTCTGGTTGTGTGTATGCGTGCACTGTCTGGTTGGTGTGTATGCGTGCAATGTCTGGTTGGAGTGCAATCTCTGGTTGGAGTGCATGCAATCTCTGGTTGGAGTGCATGCAATGTCTGGTTGGAGTGCAATCTCTGGTTGGAGTGCATGCAATGTCTGGTTGATGTGTATGCATGCAATGTCTGGTTGGAGTGCAATCTCTGGTTGTGTGTATGCGTGCACTGTCTGGTTGGTGTGCAATGTCTGGTTGGTGTGTATGCGTGCAATGTCTGGTTGGTGTGTATGCGTGCAATGTCTGGTTGGAGTGCAATCTCTGGTTGGAGTGCATGCAATGTCTGGTTGGTGTGTATGCATGCAATGTCTGGTTGGTGTGTATGCGTGCAATGTCTGGTTGGAGTGCAATCTCTGGTTGGAGTGCATGCAATGTCTGGTTGGAGTGTATGCATGCAATGTCTGGTTGGAGTGCAATGTCAGTTGGTGTGTATGCATGCAATGTCTGGTTGGTGTGTATGCGTGCAATGTCTGGTTGGAGTGCAATCTCTGGTTGGAGTGCATGCAATGTCTGGTTGGAGTGTATGCATGCAATGTCTGGTTGATGTGCATGCATGCAATGTCTGGTTGGTGTG